TTCTAGGAGACAACTGCAGGAACATAGTGAGGAATCTGTAGAGTCAGCCCAGATGGAATCTTAGCAGACAGCTTGGTAAATTGGGCACAGAACTCTGGGTGTTGCAGACCTTTTGTTATTTCTGCCCAGGAGTCAATTTAGTTTTATTTTCCTCCATTAAACTTCCAGTAGGGTTTTACTAAAGAAGCCCAAAGACACTTTCCTCAGTCTGAAGTTTACAGTAGCAGGAGGTGATATTATATTCTAGTGACCCTGAAAGGATGTCTGGATGTTATTATCAATTTTTGGGGTCTTTAAAATATTGACTACATTTTATTGTTGGCATTTTTCACAGTAGAATATTTAATGTGTGCTCCTTTCATAGCAGTACTTGTATTTTCTATAATTACTATGGACTGTAATTCTGAAGCATTTTGTTGTTTTCTTTTCTTTAGAACTTTGTTTGTTAATGATTACAAGATTTAGTAGTTTGTGGCAGAGATTTAAATAGAGATAAAAGGCTCAGTCTGTTCAGCAAATGCCTTCTGAAGGCAAAGGGGGTTCAGGAAGTGCTGTATTTTGGGCACAGAACTGCTCTTCCACCAGAGAACATTCTGATACACCAAACTCCTAATGGTTCACAGCACAGAAAGCACTGAGGGAAGGTGTGACAGGAGCCAGTCCTTGCACTGATATCCTGGGGAATGTCTTTCACATTGGCTCTTTCTCCAACACTGATCTTGCAGCTTTTCACACTCTATTTAATCATTACACTTTTTTGTGCACATGTTTTTTCTCTGTGGTGAAGCTTTGCTGAGTTCTGGATGAAAAGTTGCCACTTCAGATGTGTGATTAGAGCATCACCTTCTTCTGAAAATTAAGATAAAAGCCTGCTGACTTAATAGCAGGAGTGTTTGCACAGATAGAATCTTCATAGCTGGGGCTGCTCTGCAACTGAAGATCCCAGTAATATTTGACTTGTCTAAATGAAATGGTTAAACTGGGAAGATTCTCTTGGGGAGATTCTTCCCCCCAGTATGAAGTAACCAAGGCTGCATCATTTCCATTTGTGCCTGTGACATATTCAGGCACATTTCTAAGAGCTGTAGTTCAGCTCAAGCAGAAAAGCAGCACAAAAGGGCTTTGGCATGAACTTTTGGAGTCGGATGATCCCTACACTTGCTGTCCAGGGCAAGATAAGCTGCATCTCAATGGGAACAGCCCCAGCCATGGGCAGTGACTTTGAAAATGTGCCAGGTAAAGCCAAAGAAACTGAAGCTGGTTACTGGGTATAAATTGTTATTCAGCCCTCACAAAAGAGGAGGCTTTGACAACACCCCCGGTAACCTTGGCAAAGGGTTTTGTTAAGCAGGTCTGTGCCTCGCTGGCTTTTCAACCCGCAGGCATTGATTGCTCCTTCCTACATGGGAATTTGTGTTCTGGGAAGGGCTGGGTGGTGGCAGCAGCTGGGGCATCACGCTGGGCCTTTGCTCCACTCCCAACAGCCGCCTCCAGCCGCCGCCAAGGAGAGGAGCCCACTCTGCTCCCAGGGAAATGCAGCTGAAACTGCCCTCACTCCTCCCTGCAGAGAGCCAGCCCCAAGGGCTCTGAGGTGTCCTTGTTGAATCACACAATCCTGGAGTCATTGAGGGTGGAAAAGACCTTTCACTTCAACAAGTCCAGCTTGGGTTTCTCCCATAGTGTGACACTACTGAGGATAATAAGTTAGCTTCTGGATGAATGGAATATTATTTTGAAGGATGGAGTGTTGTTCTCACAATGTCTCTTGGCTGCACTTATTCATAAATATTTCTACTTACTTTTTCCTATAGATCTTTAGGCACCTGGTAGAACAGAAAACAGGCCTTTTATAGACTCTGCTGGCTGTGTTCTGTTGCTATTATACATGAAGTGGGGAAAATGGTCCAAACAGACCTACAAAAGAAACCCTTTGCCCTGAAATAAATCCAAGACCAGTTATATCACCACATTCACGCTGCAAACTTAGACTGTATTGCTTAATCTGGAAATAAACAATTACTTCATGATAAAGATTCAGTGCTGATCTGTGTGGCTGATAAAAGAGAGATGAGGTGATTTGCCCCAAGCTTTACAGCAAACCAGAAGCAAGGGTCATCTTTCTTGTTTACAATTTCATGTTTTGGTGTAAAATAAATGCCAATGTGAGTGATGATTCCATCTGTTAGGAAAAGACATAGGAGTTAGGAAGTAGCAGCTCCCAATTCCTCCAGTGTAAAGTCTGACGTATTGAACACAACTTGAGCTTGGGACATAAAAGATGCTGAAGCAAACATCATGCAGCCATTAGGCAATTAGATAGAGGTTCTTTTTCTGTCTCCAAACCATCTACAGAGGGGAATGCAGAGATGCTGTGATTAGACAGCAATAGAAGACATTTAATTTCCATTTCCATCCAAAAATTTCTAAATTCCTTCCTTGAAGAGTCAGCTTTCCAAAACTCTCCATTTTGTGATCCACTTAACCTCATGGGTATTGCAGAGAACATGCTCGCTGGACTTCTCTTTCCATGCTCATTAGTTCAGTGTGCTTGGCTCATTTCCTAGGATTTGGTCTAGCACAGCCTCTGACCATCCAGCCATTTGTCTGAAAATCATTCCCCTCTTCCCTTCTGCAGTTTTCCTTTCAGTGCCTGAGCAATTAAAATCCCGAGTGATCAAAGCCCTGGTCTTCCAACTGTCTCTTGTTTTTCACAATCATGGCATGAGCTCCCTTGCCTCACTGCATGAGCTGAGCTCAAACAAAGAAGGTATGACAATTGCTCAATTGTTAGGAATTGTGAAGAGTCTTAGCCAAAATATTGACATCATTCTGACTTACACATTAAGAATTAATTTTTGCTAGGTCTGTAACTAGAGATTAGCAAATCATTTGGATGTCATTAAAACCAAATTGATTGTCACAAAAAATCATTGGGGTCTAAATAACTATTGCTTTTCCCTTTCCTATCTTGATTTCATGATCCTAGCTATTCTGTAGCATTCCTGGATTATTACTGACTCTCCACAAGGAAAGATTTCACAGGTGTTTATTCTTTTCTGGCTCTAAATTGTCTCTTTTACGTATATGCAGCATCTCTTTCACGGCAGAATACAAATTGTTTCTCTGTTTATAATTTGTCTTGACTCAGATGTTCCTTGCAGAACTATGGGTTTCTTTACATCGACAGTCCTGATTCTCCAGGCATTTTTAGTCCCTTGTGATCGAGGAGTCAGTGAGTCACAGGCTGTGTTTGTATATTCCCACATCCTGAGGTACAGAGCAGGCCTGCTTAGGCCTCCTCATTCCTAAAGGGTCTCCAAATCCCTTCCATAGCCGTTTCTGACAGCCTGGAGGTATGCAATGTGTTGCTCAGAAGTTAAGACACCTTTTTCCATCAGCCACTGATCCTGGCCCGTGGACATGACCCAGAGCAGGTGGAGCACTGCTGACAGGCTGTGCCATGTGCCTGCAGTCACCGAGTAGGTGTTTTTGTGGGGAAGGTGGAAAGAGGGAGGTTTTTTTGTTTTGTCAGCGAGTGGGAGAAGTATTGAAGTTGTAAAGAACATCGGGAGCGTAGGGTGCGAGGGGGGAGAATAGAGGGTTTGCAGCACTGTAATTTCCCCCAGGGCAGAGATCTCAGAACAGTATTTAACAGGAGCTATAGACTGTGCAATACTTAAAACAAATAGATGGAAATGAGTCTTTCTTCTATTAATATGGCCTAGCCCTCAGGAACAGTGCTAAAATGGGTTTGCAAGGCACAATTACCGCAGAGTCCTGTCAGGCTGCTGTTAATTCCTCCAGGCAGAGCTCCGTGTTTTGCTGCCTTCAGCCAGCCATTCATTTGTCCGCCCACAGCCCGGAGCCCCCGGCGGCAGCGGGGAGCTCCAGAGCCGCTTCCCTGGCCCTGGGGAGGGGGAGCTGCTGGGGCAGGAGCGTTACCCAGGCCTGAAATAGCAGCCCCTGCCTGCCTCGGTGCTCTGGTACCAGCCACGGCAACCCCAAAATGCACCCAGGCTGCTCTAGGTGTTTAGAGCGATTCTTGCCTTGGATTCTGTGAAAAGCGTTCTTTTGAAACAAGGTATGTTTTAATACCTTAGCTGGAGTGTGGAGGAAAGAGTTTGAATTGTGGTTTCAAGGTGAAATTGATCCTGAAAGCTAGATTCGAAGAATTATTTCAGGATTGTTGTAACAGCGATATGAATTCACCTTTCGGAGGCACAGCTTGGTTTAGAGTTGCACTTTGATATATTTTTCTGTTATTTTGTGGATATGTCTTCAGAGAAAATGAAATTTTTATTCTTCAGCCAGGTGGTGGAGTCTTCTTCCTCAGCCCTTGCACTGTATCATTTACCCAAGAAGTTCAAAGCATGTAGAGCTGGGAGGTTTCGGCTCCCTTCCTGTGAGATAAGATATATTTCAATGTCACTATCACAGAAGATTGAGGCACGGGGAGCAGTTGTGAATTACGAGAGGTCTCAAGGAGGTAGTGGCAGACCAAGGAGCAGAGTGAAGGTGACCTGATTTGCAGTGCTGTGATCTGGCTGTCAGCTGATACAGGCTCTGTGGAGAGACTCTGGTGTCATTTACCATCCGAGTCCAGCCAAGCTGGGGCTCGTCCTTCAGCTCCTTTGCAGGAGCTTTTCCAACGCCAGCCTAGCAGCAGCCTAGCTTGGCAGAGCAGGGAAATGCAGGACAAGGTCCCCAGCCAAAGGCTGCTGCTGCGGCAAGTTCCGAGTGCCCGGCGCAGAGTCCCGGAGCTGCCTCCCAGTCAGGCACGGGCTGGGCTATTCATTCTGCAAACAGCCTCCTTCCTCTCCATGCCAGCCCGAGGGACACGGGGGAATGGCAGAGTTTATTATAAACTGAGTGAAGGAACAGACTATTGCTGGAGGAGATCCAGGGTTATAAAAGATTGGAGCGGGGAGGGGGGAGGAGGAGGGAACAGGACATAATTTGTGTTTGTGCGTGAGGGGGTGCAGACTGCTGGCTTCAGCGAGACATTCCCCAAACCCTCAGGACCTCTGCCTGGTTTTGGTGGGATTTTGTGCAGTGCATCCCGTGCTGTGTCAAAGCCCACTTACTTTTTATTGTATCAATCATCCTCTTTATGCAGCACCACGACTCGGAGAACGCTTGCAGGTCCTGTTCTGAATGAGCAGCGCTCGCTGCCAGCTCAGCCTAGTTACTGCTGTAACTTAGTCTGGGGGATGGGAGAAAAAGGTTGCTGCTACTTTAAATATAATGCATTAAGAGGATGCTGGAAAAAGGCCTGCATGCTGTAATACCCAGCCATCGAGTTGGAAAAGGAGCCAGATGTAATACAAAAGAAGAAACACAGCCTCTTATGGATGCTGCACTAATTCATAAATCAGGTGAATCAGCTTAGGCAACTGCTGTGTTTTTATGCCTCTGCTGCATGGAGAACTGCATGTTGGATGCTTTTATTTGAAGTAATGGAACCAGATAATCCTTTGGACCAGGACAACTCCAATGGTAAGAAGTAGAAAACATAGAAGAGAGAGCGAAAAAAAGGGATAATGAGAGTGTCTGAGTTACCCATCCTGCTAAAGGCACAGGGGTAGGCATGTGTTTGTAATGTCTTCTGCATGGATAAGTGGAACTGAATGTGGGAATGTGCTTCACAAGAGCTTAGAAATCCCTCTGTTTACAGGCTCTGGAGACAAACATGTAGTAGACTGATACATTGAGATATTTATTCTACTGGAAGGAACAGGAAGCAGGCAGAATTAACCTGAGCAGTCTGTGCAGAGGGAAGAGGGACCTGTGCATTCCACCTTATTCAGTTTGGGGGGCTTTTTGCCACTAAGAAAAGAATGGAACTTTGTGCCGTATGTGCTGTCAGATGTAGCATTTGGGAACAGATTCTTTATCTGTGGAAAGCTTTCCTCCAGGCAGATGCATGAGTAATTTACTTAGGAAGATATATTTAGCCAAGGACCACATAAACTCACCCTGGAATTAAAGTCCATGGTTAAAAATGCAGCTATTCCATGGATTTATAGCATTCCACATGCTGATGTTCTGCTATCCAGTCTATTGGAAAGCACACAAAAAAGCATAAATTGAGGGGAAAAGTTGTTTGCAAGTCTTATTTCTCTGTTAGTAGAGAGAATTGGCTGCATTGAGGATAACAAAGTATTCATGTTTATGAAAACAATTTCAGATGGTGATTTTTGGAATAAATTGATTCTCAACTGTTTAATATGCATTTGGTATATTCTGAATACAGCTTGAAATACACTAAATATTCCACTTCCTACATAAATATTGTTCAGGAAGTAGTTATGGATTTCCCACAGCATATTCTGCCGATAAACAGAGCTTCAAGTCTGACTCCACTGCAGTGTTAATATCACAGAGACCTAAAACTGTGCGGAAAGAATGTGGTTAAGGGAATGAAGTAACATTTAAACTATGTGAACAGTTGACTGGGCAGATATAAGTGGGCAGCACTGCTTTACTTGGGGCTCTATGCCCTGCTGAAATCAAACTTAATCAAGGACAGATTTCAGTGGTGTTTCAAATGATAATATTTTCATGAAAATATTAACAGGGGAGTCTCACACTTCTTATTTCTCTTTTCTACTCTATTTCATATGTAGTTATATTAATTCCTCTCAAGAAGAACAGTGTCTGCCTCTCATGTCTCATACCTCCTCTTAGACCACAGAGACACGGAATTAAATCTCATTTTCTTTACAGCAGGAAGTTTTAGGATTTTCAGGGAAGTGCATGCATAGTTTGAGCTGATATTAACAAATATATAACCAGGTGTTCTTGCCCACCTGGCCTTTATGAGTAACAGAGAGTGTCTGGGTTCTGAGGGAAATACAAGTTTAACTTTATTTTCTCTACTATGTTAAATTCCTAACTGAATTTAGAATGCATAGTTTAAGATACATAATTTCTCATTCTTTTCTTGCAGACATTTAAGTATATTCTGTCACATTGTGTAGAAACTTTGTTTTCCTACAAAATATTTGAATAAGTCAGCAAACACTGGGAAGGTTCATAAGCTGGGAAATTAGAGATAAGCAAGCACTGCTGGTACCAAGGATCTGGGATAAAACTTCACTGCTTCCTCTTCCTAACTATGTAAATCCCCATCTTCCTCTTAGTTTTGTTTAAATTACTTTGATTTAAACTATCTCATTGTAAACAAATGGCTTGAACCATTTATTGATCAGAAGGTCAATTCCTTCCCTGTGCTGCTGCTGGAGCTGCGGCATTGCAGGACTGAGGGACTCAACTGCTGTTCTGAGATCCCAGGCATTATTTTGCATGAATTCAGTAAACAGAAAGTTCTCAGAAATTGGCCAGCAGAGTGCTGTTCAGGAAGATTTGCCCCTTGAGAGCATTCCCTTGTTCTGGAAACAGCCCCTTGGTCCCTTGGATATCCAGCAGCTCTGGACATGCTGGGAACATTTGTGTTTATCCCAGTGGGCTGTTCATGTGACAAGTCTTAATGCCCTGGGGAGTGACCATGACTTGGAACTCCTGTGCTTGCTGTAGAAGTGCCTTTTTACCTTCAAGAATGCCAAATTAAATCCCTTTTTCTGCCAGCAGAATGAAGTCCATTCTTTAATTTTTGCTCTGTCTGAGAGTCCATGTAGGTTAACCACCTACCTTAAAATTCAGCCTTGGCTCCTTCTGTGTTGCTTATTTCCAGCGCAATCAAGAGATGATTAATGACAGAAAAAGCTGTTCTGAAGAATTTGTGGCAATAATGTATTTGAGAGTTGCTTTTCTTGTCTCCTGCAGCCCTTCCATTTGCTTACTAATGTGCATGAATTCAGCTCACAGGACGTTGGTGGAATATTCAAGACTGGGAATCTGTCTCATTTCTTAGCACAGGGTTGTTTTTCTTTTTTCCTAATCAAATTAAGTTGCCAACTTTTAATGGAGATGCCTCATAGATTTATTATTGCTTGTAGTTGGAACAGGGAATCACCACTCATTTATGTGGGGGATTTAAGCTGTGTTGGTTGCCTTGACGTAACAGTCCCTGGAATAAAACCACCACCTGTGGGTGCAGCGGTTACTGGATTTTTCTCTGTGATTCTCCAGGGAGCTGCAGTGCTTGATGGCCTTGAGCACAGCCTGACAGGCATTGGAGATTTGTGCAGGGGGTTCGGTAACTTTTCTCCTTCTGTGCATGGGATAAAGGCTCACAGAAAGTTACAGGTTCTCATATGGATTTTAAAAATCATTAAAGCAACCCCCACATTATTTTCTCCTTCTCCCCCACCCATTATTTTCTTTCCATTCTCTGGAATGCAGGTGTGTAGAGAAAGATTATTGTCATTTTATGATGGCTCACAGCTCTGACTTTTTGAAGTGTTTTTTTTAAACGTACTGGCATGGATTTACTTGATTCTTTTCACAAAAAAAAAAAAAAATAAATAAAAAAAAATCTTGGAAGAAACTTGCTGAAAAATGTGCTGATTCCAAAACCATAACCCTAAATTACCCATTTCAGAGGGATGACATATCAGAGCTATGGATTTCTCTTTTGTACTATAACCACTTGCTGCTCCAAGAATAAAAGACAGCTCAGCAGCTTTCTGCAAGCTGCTGAAGATTTATAAGATGTTTTATTTGTGTGCAAACTCTTGAGTACAAAATATATATGAATTATGTATTCTTTGTGTCCTCTAATTGCTCAGATCTCAGTTTGTACAGCTTTTGTCAACACTGGAACCACCTCTGAGTTTATTCTTTTCTGTGTCCTCACAATATTTCTTTGTGATTCGGTTGTTAATCCTTTAAGAGCACAAGATTTTTATTAGGCTTTTTGAACAACCTTGTAGACCAGATCCCAACTACTGGTTTTAGTGGAATCATACTCCCTACACAATAGGTGTGAATCACAGATGCAGATTTTTTGCCACAAAGAAATAAAATTAAACCATTGTGCTTCAATAACACAATAATTACAGCATATTTTTTTCAGTCTCTGAAGTACACATTGAACCAAGTGAATTACTTGGATGACAGCCAGGGTTGAACTTTGTCTGCTGTTGGTAATTGAGATTCTTCAGGCACTGTTCGAGGGCAGTAATGACATCCTGGCCTCAATGACACCTTGGTGTGCATTAAAAATCACAACTGGTAGAGAGGAAAACAGAAACAAGGGCTGGGAACGCAGAATTTTTGGTAGGTCGTGTGGTAGCAGAGTTGAGTGAGAAATCTCCAGGGAAATGGGGGATCAAGGATACAGCAGATTACTGGATAATGATATGTTGATGCTTTCTACAATTTCCAGGTTGGAAACTGAGTTGGGGACAACCATTGCATGCAGTGGTTTTCTCTCTGTCCCTGCTGAAATCAGTAGAAGAGGACAGAGCCAGTCAATAAATGAGCATCCCACTGAATTATGGGCATTTAATAAGGGAGAACCATCCAGATGGAATCCTGAAGGAATATTCAAGGAATAAAATGTAACCATCCATACTTGGAGGTGCTGGAAACAGTCACAGTCATCTCTTGGTTCTTTGGAGCTAAAGAAAAGGGTCTTTTCATAGGCAAATTCAAAGCCTCTTTTATATTCCTCCAAAAAGAGAGGAACTTCAGAGCATTGTGAGGGAACCTCCCAGATCCATCTCATCCACACAGCACTGCCACTCAGAACTTTCTACATCAGCCATAGCTGGAAGGGGAATTCAGCATAACTGGATGGAAAGGAAGAGTGCACAGGCAAGGGATTTCCTGGGAGCAGAGATGAGGAGTTCAAGCTTACATTTGATGTATCAAGGTGTTTATAGGTGAGAAGCTTTTAAATTAATGAGACTCCAGTAGCAGCTGTCAGGAGCTGGAGGAGCCCAGAAGGAAGTGACCCTTATTAATGAGATCTGAGCCCCTCATTTCGACCCAGTGGGGTTTCTGAGCCCTTCAGCCAAGAATTGCTGGGATGCCATGGGTGTAACTCAGCTGTTGGCCAGGAGCCTCCTCTTCTGGTGCTGCCCAGAGAGATGGGTATGTGCTGATGCCTCCCACCCCTGGCTGACAAACCCACCCTACAGCTGGATGTACAGAATAGAGAGCTGCTTATGCTGAGCTGATGTTCCTTATGGTGTCTGACTGGGACATTTGCCTGGGAGCTTCCTCAGAGCGTTATCCCAGCACTTTGAGCATTATGGGGATCATGTTTGGATTTTGATGTGCTTCCTCTCTGAGCATTTCCAAGGAAGCAGCACATGGAAAAGCTGTAATTGCCGAGTATTCCTCCTGCTGGTAGAGGCTCAGAGGCCCAGCAGATGCCTTGCTCAGTGAGTCAGTTGTCAAAATGATTTTGGCTGCTATGGAGCTTAGTGCAGGGATCAGAATATACCTGCCAAAATGAGGCTTCAGAAAATGTTTATTTTCCTAGCAGATCTAGATATGCCTCTAGTTTTGTTTTACACCTTCTAACACTTCTCTAGCTGTAGCTGAAGGTTGGTGGGCAGCTGTGGCAGATGTTATAACTTGAGCCC